TGATTTAAGTTGTTTCCTACGTAGATTACTTGTATTTATATGTCATCAATATACAAATGATATGGTGGTGAAAACTATTATAGTCTAATAATGGGTAACCGGTTTCAATAGGTCAATCAAAACTCAGATTTTTGGGTTCAATTTAGCATGATGGGATCTGATAAATCGAATTAATTTTGATATTTTTTTCGATGTACTTCTACTTTCCTAATCTAGGAGAGTTGAAGGGGCAATGATGCAAAGAGTGAATAGTGTAGGGGTAAATAGAAAAACACAGAAAGGCTTTTTCGGCACCTTTTTGCAGAGATAACCGTCCCAAGAGGTCTGACTAGTCTCTTCTTTCATAACCATAAAATCACATTGAGAGAGAGAGAGAGAGAGAGAAAAAGAATCCCGAGGACCATATGTATGTGAGAGAGATATGATAGAGACAGGAACTTTATATGCATACATTAACGCAAGATCACGTCTGTTTCACGCATACGCATCACCTGCGTATTTTAGTCACCGCCACAACAATCAGCGCTTCCTGTTTTATAGCTGTATCTCCCATCTCTGTTCTCTCTCTGTTCTCTCTCTCTCTAGATATGCATATACATAAATAGAGAGAGGGGGCAACTGGGATGCATTTATTTTGATCTTTTTCGGATCACTCAATACACCCACCACACTAGTAATCAATCTCATGTCTCAATCCCTGTTCTTGCTAACGTGCGCAGGATGCCCCTGGTACCTTCCTTCCCTCCTCATCTTGTTAGAATTTGCAAGTTTTGTTGTATGATTTTGCATCGTGATGTGTATATCTGTGAGTTTGTTCAAACGGGTTTTCTGCAAAAAAGCGATTTTTACTCCTTTTGATGTATAGAAATTGATTAATTGAATGAGAAACGAAAGACGAGTCTTTTTTCGTCTTTTGTTTAGGAATATTTCACGAAAATGAGATCTCAGAGTTTGTAATTATCCTGAAACAAAAATGGTGTTTTGGACCATGAAATTCGAGTACCAAACATGGTATATCGTGAGATGTATTCATAAGTTGTACCCTTCGCGTAACGAATTGTACATTCATGGTAAGGTCAATTTCACGATTTCCATATTCTTTTCGTTTGAACATTCTCTTGTACTGTTCTTACAGCTGAAAAATTCCAACTTTCATATTTCTAATTTCCATACGCGTCTTCCATGACTATGAACATGTAGCATCTCTACTTGGACTCTTAGCTTAAATACATGTACTTTAACCCTCTAATAACATGCAACATGAATGGGTTTTTAACCACAGCATCATATGGAAGTTCTTGCCTTGACATGATATCTTCTTCTTCGGCGTGATGATGCTGCATTTACAGTAACAAGTCGATCGATAAAAGCTTCTTGATTTAGATGGAAGGTTTTCTTGATTTAAATTCTTCCCCACATCACCCTTTTGAGTATTTCAGAGGATCTTTAAAACAGACAATGCTCGATCATGATATCATATTCAAGAAACAAGCATGTGGGTCCCTTGGAAAATCGTTGATGAAGAGTGATTCAAAGTTTACAAGATGTGAAACTTTTCCCATGAAGAGAACATTCACAGGAAATCATTCGGTAAATTACATTAAACTCCTTCTTAGATTGCATTAACAAGAATGAAATGTTATTTGTGTAGTCATTTAGCATTCTTATAAATGTTTTTTTTTGTGATGTGATGGGGCCCACAAAATCCAAGATTTACATCCTTTGTTACATGATGTTTACTCGTATGTTCTTCAGGCAAGATTCTTGATAGACAACTTGTTCTCACAAGAAGAAGATGATGATGATGATTTGAATCTTTCTTTGAGTATTGGGAGGAGTACCAATAAAAGAAGCAAATCTTGGAAGAATAAGATTATAATTGATCTTGAAGAAGATTCATCAGGAATAGGATCAAGTGAGGATGTTCAACCTGTTTTTTCACTTGATCAATCGAGTCAAAAGTCAACGGATCATATAAATCAATACCCATGTCATGGAATGATCGATTGTTTAGTGAATGGTGTCAATTTGCATAAAGGTTTGTCAATCTATAAGCCTAAACTATGTTCTTTTGACTTTGGAAAGTCAACCTTATTCTTTTAACCAAATTGACATGAAGGAATGACATTATACAGCCATTTTATGTTTCTTGATTTAACCTATGACACCATTTTAATGGGGTAATTAGTTAGACAGTTCAAATCTCTACAGATCCTTCAAAACTCAAAAGTCAAACATGGGCTTCTTTTGAGACCCTTTGATCTCTGGAAGTCAACCATATACAATTTTAAAGGCAAAATTGACATGGATTCGTTTTATACATGAACACCATATTATTCATAATCATAGTGTCACCGTATTGTTTGGTTTAATATTCAATCTTAGTTCCAAAACTTTGACATTCGGCTTCTTTTCTAATCTGGAGATGTAGTCCATTTGACTTTCAAAGTCAAACACGTACGAAATTCTCAATTCTCATTTTCACAATCAAGATTCGTGCTTTTTTGAGTTTTTCCCATTCTAAACGAAACCCTTTATGATCTTGCAGGATCCAGCGAGTTGCATGATGATGTTAAACAAACAAAACTAATGGATTTCGATCTCAATGAAGATCAACCCGATGAGTCTTTTCAATCAAACGAACCCTCATCAGATCTCACGGAAGAAAAAGAGAGAAATATCTCACAAGTAATAGAAGAAAAAGTGAAAAACGACTCGGATTATGCAACAAAAAAAGCAGCCCACTCACTTGTTTCAATCTCATTGCAACAAATTTCAAGTAATCAAGATTCCGAAAGCAAATCAGGGTCAAACGAGGTTGAAAACAAGAAAACAAACCCACGAAGGTCTTCTTCTATTGATTCTTACGAGTTTCTTGTTTTAAAGCTAGAAGAAAGCTGTGTGGATGAAGATTGTGTAACATCGAAAGCTTTTGAATTAAATGAAATGGGTAAAAATAAAAACGACAAAGGAATAAACTCAATAAAGTTAAGAAGAGGAAGGAGAATGAAAGATTTTCAGAAAGATATACTTCCTACATTATCGTCACTTTCTCAACATGAAATCTGGGAAGATATTAAGATTTTGGAAGGTGTAATTAGGTCGAGAGAATATAAGCGTCTGCAAAAAGCTAAAACGGAAAATGGGGACAACTGTGTGAAGAACAAACGATCAAAAGTCAACTATGCTGGTCAAAGGTCTTGTTTGCCCAAAAGGAAATAGTGATTTCATATGCTGATGAAAAGGTGTAGTTTGTTATGAAGTAGGAAGCAGATAAAGATTATTGATTCTTGAGTGAGAGTGATTTCATAGTTTTTTGTTCTTGATTATTATTGTAGTTTTTAGTTTTTTTGATTCCTTAAAATCTAACTTTGACCATATCTTTATAATTTATTAGTGTTATGTTTAAAAGATGAACTCGGATAGAAAAAAAAAGGTTTATTTTATAATCTTCATAGCAAGAGAACATAATTTTGGTTTTTTCTTCTAGTAGATGTCCTTTTTGTAATATAGAAGAGGAGGTGGATCATGTATTTTTCAATTGCCAATTTTCTAGTCCTATCTGGACTTGATTTTGTTATTGGAGTAGTTAGCTTCCTTGGATAGATAACCTTTACGCCTAGTTTCCGTTGTAGAAGAGAAGAGAAGAGAAGAGAAAAGAAAGAGAGAAAAGAAAAGAAAAGAAAGGAATAGATTACAAATGTGGTGATATTGTGAATTTGGCATCAAGGGTATTGATGTTCCCTCGATCCCTTGTCCTTTGTGTTCTAAACAAAATGAAATCATGTTACATTTGTTTGGTGCTTGTGAGATTGCTTCAAGGACTTGGAATGCGTTGACTAGACGAATACAAATGTGGTGATATTGTGAATCGGGTAGATACGCGTCATGTTTCTCTAATCAAGGAGACGAGTTATATCATTGTCATTGAAAGTTTCATAATGAAACAATCTTCAACAACAATAAGCAAAAGAAATAGAACAGTTAGTATTAGTTGGGTAAATTGGATTCAAAATCCTCCTCTAAACACTATGTAATTTGTTGCTAGCTCATTGCTAGTTGTGTTTTGTTATATATATATATATATATATATATATATATATATATATATATATATATATATATATATATATATATATATATATATATATATATATATATATATATATATATATATATATATATATATATAGGGAGATGATCAAATGAGAACACCTAAAAGGTTGAGAACTCGAGAACAATTCTGGACCACTCAATATATAAGGGTATACTAGTAATTGTATATTTTAATTAAATTAAAATAAAATAAAATTCAATCAAATTCCCTTAAATTTAGGATCAGTTACCAAAAAAGAAATAAATATTGAATTTTTTATTTTTCTTATTAATGGAATATAAAAATCATTTTTCTCCTATTTCACGTTTTTTTTTCTTTCTTTTCTTTCTTTCTTTTTTTTTTTTTTTTTGTGTGTTCAAAAAAATAAATAGAAATCGAACATCAAGTTAGTACATTTATATTCATAAATGATTTTTTTTTTTCAAAAAACCTGATACTACTACAATTACAAATAAATACAGATCAATTTACAAGTAATCCAATTTCTTTTTTTAATCAGTTGAAAATAAAAAAGATTGTAAAAATTATCATTTCTTCACAAAAAGAATACCTCTAATCATAAATAAATATACTCATTAACACATGCTTACACTGTTATTCACAAATGAATACACTGCTATTAACAAATAAGTAGCTTGTTATTCAGAATTGAATAAATGAATACCTCTAATTATAAATAAATACATTAATTCAATGTTATTCACAAATGAATATACTGATATTCACACATGAATGCACTGCTATTCATTCACTATTATTCACACATGAATGCACTGCTATTCACAGATAAATACAATTTTTCATTCTTCTATTTCCTCTTACACTCCTTTATTTTTGTCCTGTCTTCGAGGTGCAAGAAAAACACCCCCACTAGAGGTGTTTGCTAGTGGTTTCCGGCTAGCCAAGGGCAACAACCCCTTCCATTTTCTCCCACTGTTTTATGACACACCAAGCAACCCAAATACCCCCTGTTGTCGTTTTCTTTCTGCTTCCTCCCCCTCTCATCGACAGTAACTGGAACAAGAAAACAAAGTGGTGAAGAGGTTGCCAGAATAGTCCCTGCCACTCCACTACTGCGATGAACCACCAAATCGGTGGAGGTGCTCCATATTGTTCTTTCTTCGCTCCTGAAACAATTTCATACTTCATCATTTCGTGTTCGTGATAAAAAAAACTCCAAAATCAGAATTAAATACAATTAACAATCAATTAAATGAAGCAAATTTAGTAAATGAAGAGACTGAACAAAATACAAAATACATATGAATTTCTATAATTGTAATTATATTCATAAATGAATACACTTTTGACAACTTGGCTCCCTGAGAACGTAATTGAAGATCCAGCAAAGCTTCGATATAACGTCTATGTCATGAACTCGTTGAAATTAACAGATATATAGTAAAACAAAATCTTAACGAAGGCACTCAATGAAGTCTCAGGCACACATAATTGAAACAGATAAAAATCGAAGCACCAATCTTTCTTCAAACACAACCATTACCAGTCCCAAACTCGTTCATTTTTCATTCCAACACTTCGAATCGGACAAGCATCAGTTTCTCGAAGCAAATAACTTCCATTTTATTTCGTTTCAGATCTACCAACCGAATCGTTTTAATACCATAACCATTCGAATCTAAACCACAACATAAACAGACATACATATGTAATACAAAAAGGTAGGGTTTCGGATACCTGGCGGAAAATCAAAATATACAGATCAAATGAGTCTCGTCAATCCAAACTTTGGCGACCTATTACAGTTGGAAAAACAAACTTTTGATCATCAGTGATGCACACAATCGAAGCAAAGAATCGCACAATCGAGTGGCCTATCGATGAAGGCATGAGGCTTATCGCTGTATATATACAGCGATTATGCTCGTATTCACTAATCACCACGTCATGCTCCATTGTAATATCATGATGGTTTTGTCCTTGGTTATTTTTAAAACTACGGTTCACCCTCCCTAACTACTAAAATTGAATTTCTTTGTCATTAATGATTAGTCAAACGAAATAAATGATCAAAGATCTAGAAATTCATACCTAACCCTAGCGCCGATCTTCGCTGGACTTTCTTCTTCTGAAGCGAAAGCCGATGTCGGATCGTCGATGATTGCCGTGGAACTGGAATCCAATGTCACTGATTTGATACGTGGATTCAAACCTGAAGTTGGGGTAAGACGGCAGTGGAGCGATCGACGGGAAGAGAGGAAAGAAAAAGGACCCGAATTCATTGAGAGAGACGCTTATTTTGAAAGCCTAGAGAGAGATCGGTGGAGATAAAGATACGAGATTATGAAAGGAAATAGGAGAGATGGTGAGAAATTGTAGGAAATAGGTAATTTTGCAATTCCTATTATGCCCTTCTGTCAATTTAAAAGTTACACTTTAATGCCCCGTAGTTTTATAATTTATCATAAATCGTCCATTTAATAATAGCCTTAGATCTAAATATTTAAATGGTTCAGATTTGTTCTCGCGTTCTCAACCTTTTAGGTGTTCTCATTTGATCCTACTTCTATATATATATATATATATATATATATATATATATTATATATATATATATATATATATATATATATATATATATATATATATATATATATATATATATATATATATATATATATTCCATTCAACTGTTCACAAATAAAATAAAATTGAAAGCTTTTCAAACAAAGTAACAAGCTTAGACAGTCCTTGATCTACTTATGGTTTGGTTGACTTGGGAAGCTTGGAATGCTTTGATGTTTAACAAGAAAAAACGAAATCCTTTAAAAATGACCGATGATATCCAACTTGTGGTATTTAATTGGCTTAAATATAAAACCAATTTTTGCTATTTATATTGGTTTGAGTGTTGTATTTATCCTATTAATACTTAGTTTTCTTATAGTTTTGTGTTTAATATATCCACTCTTAAAAATCAAATAAAATAACTTATGTCAATACTTATTGATGGTATTGTGTCCATTGGCATGACCCAACAACAGGCCTGATAGCAGTGTTCAACACGGTTGACTACAACATCGTAACTAACTGTCACCACTATGTGACCGCCCAACGTGTTCAACACGGTTGGCTACAACATCGTGACTAACTGTCACCACTATGTGACCGCCCAACGTGTTCAACACGGTTGGCTACAACATCGTGACTAACTGTCACCACTATGTGACCGCCCAACTGGCTGGCACTGCTACCATCTAGCTGGACCTGACCTGATTCCTCTTGACCTAATTATCTCCCATAGATAAATGATTCATTCTACATGAGAAGAGATCATCACCTTCCACTCTTGGACATCTCCACCTTGGGAGATCAATCTCGGTTATGCCCATCTACTCTCCCATTACACACACATATGACTCTCTTTGATCACGAGAGGCCATCTCTTCACTCACACTGATCTAACTTGATCATTAGAGCATGTTCCTGAGACACAGTTTCTGGAGCGGTTCTAACAATCTTCTTACTTGATTAGAGAGAAGAATCTAATAAGGAACTTGCTAATAATGCTCATCTCCAATCCACAACCCAAATACGACACCAATATCCGATGACCGGATTTCAAGTTCTTATCACCGTAATCGGTTGACATTATATAGTTTTAACAACTAATGTGCACAAAAACCAAGATAACATTAATTATGACTATATATTTGTCGATAAAATATTAAGAGGTCAATATAATCACTTTTATGTATACATGAAGAATTTGGAATATACCGAGTTTAATCATAACAATATGAACTTTCTTCTTTATCATATGACATTAATTTGGAGCAAGAATCACTTTTATGTATACATGAAGAATATGGAAAATACCGAGTTTAATCATAACAATGTGAACTTTCTTCTTTATCATATGACATTAATTTGGAGCAGAGCACAACCATTCAAAGCAAAATGTCACAAATCTATAGTTAATGAACTATTCTCATATGAAAGAAAGAAAATTTGTATGATAATAAAATTGATCATATCAAATCCTAAGTTTTCTTCGTAACAAGTGTTTGAATTAATCTTCTCAATTCAATAACAAATTCGACGAAACTAAATGTGATATGTATTGCCAATTCACATTAAAAACATGACCTTAAATTTGCTAAATGCTTAAAAGTCATAACTTCGTCATGAACCATGCTTATCTTTTTGTGATAAAAATTAAATTGCACAAATAAAATCCATTCATAATTGATAAAAAAAATCAATTTAATTCCATATGAGCTTGAGTTCAATTAACAATAGAAACATATTAAACAAATTGCAAAAGAGTTTGTATTTATATATTTTGGTCGAAAACTTCTTTAATTGAATTGTACCTTATATTGATATTGAATATGTAATATATAATTCAAATTTGATTATTCTATAATGATAATGTGTATAGTTTTTTAAAGTATAGAAATTAGTTCGTTTTAAACAAATGAATAAAACATGATATAAATGTTACAACATTGCAAACTGTAATCGAACTTTTAATTGGTATTCTAGAAAACAACTACCACCCCTTCATATATTATTAATATATAAATATTAATATGTGACTTGAATATCAATCGATAAACTTGTATTTATTCTTTAATATATATCTTATTGGAATTTTTATGAAACTTTCCACCATTCAAACAAAAATAAGCTTGGATTTATTAAACTAAAAGTTTTATTTCATATTTAATTTTAATAGTAAATTTTGTATATTTTATTTTTATTTTTTTAAAAAATAATTATTGATTCTTATATAAACATTAATTAATTAACCACCATCCCAATTGAAAACTCTTATATTTAGGTATTTTTGACTTATCACAAATTATCTATGATTCAATACAAGAAATGTCAAAAAGTCACATGAGACTTTTTCCCAACCTTGAAGGTGGAGGTTGGGTTAACCCTCGCTTTAATTTTAAGGACGAGGGCGAGGGTACGACCACAATGCCAACCTACCAGTAGGAGTTGTATGTTAGATGATTGTCTTTGTGATATTCATCTAGGTTTGCTATTACCTGATATGTTTATGTGCTAGTATGTTATGATGCTATGTGATAGTAGCAGTAGGGGAGATAGTCCCCAAGATTACTGGTCGATAGGGACGAAAATGGATTATGATTATGTGATATATGTTATGTGATAGTAGTAGATGGGTGAAATAGTCCCCGATGCCCGGTCGAAAGGACCGAAGGGGAGGCCAGCACCCAGATATGCTAGGCATTATCTGGTCGAAAGGACCGAAGGGGAGGCCAACACCCAGATATGCTAGGCAATATCCGATCGAAAGGACCGAAGGGGAGGCCAACACCCAAATATGCTAGGCAATGTCCGGTTGAAAGGACCGAAGGGGTAGGTCGGACACCCAGATATGTCTGACAGTATTTATGTTTTATGTTTGTATGGTATGTGGTATGATGGGGGAACTCATTAAGCTTCGTGCTTACAGTTTTCATTTTTTCTTCAGGTACCTCTTCAGCGAAGGGGATGGAGCCGACACGGTAACTGCACATCACACGCACATCAGATTTTCGCATTATTGATTCATGGGATTGTACTATGATTTTACTACTATTGGTGTTTTGATTTGGAACATGTTTTGAATGATTTATTGTTCATTGTGATATTAACAAGATTTTCAGTAAGTGTTTTATAAAGCAACTAATTAAAAATTAAATTTTTGGACTCGAAATTTGGGACGTTACACTTCAATTTCGACTCTTACAGAAGCTTAAGGGGAACTTAATGGTCCATAAAAATGCTTGCTTTATGGACATGCATGCACCATGCATGTCCTTTCACCATTTTAGGTTAAAAGTAGAAATATGGCCGCAAGTTCTCATGCAAGCTTCTAATGCTCTACCAACTTCCAGATCTGAATGATATCAGAGTCAAAAGACTATTTGAATCTGTAAAGTTGCTAACTTTATGGATCTTCTTCACTCCAATAAGCTATAACATAAGGAAATGGGACCAAAAACCTAGATCCAGCCATGAAATGAAATAAAGTTTGAGTCTTGATACTTATAATGGTCCAAACAAGAGAAGAGTTGATGAAAATTGTAACGACCCGTCTCTGGTATGTTGCTTTATATTATTTATTTTTAGAAGTTTGTAGAGGGACTCGACGAGTCTATGGCCCGACTTGTCGAGTAGAGTCGTGATCTTGGGCAGCGTATAGATCGGCGACTCGGCGAGTCCATATTCGGGACTCGGCGAGTCGGCCTGCCAGGTAGAAACCCTAAATCCCCGGGTTTGCACCCTATTTAAACCATCTTATGAGCCCCCAAACTCGTCTCCTTCACCCTCAAAGCATTATTTGGCAAACCCTAACCATTCCATTGAGTATTTGAGCTTTTCTTGTCTAAATCTTGAAGTTTTGAAGAGAAGAAGGAGGCTAGATCCAAAGGAGAAGAAGAAGATCCAAGTTTTTGCACTTATTTCAAAGTATCTTGAGGTAATAATCGGTTTCTTCCAGTTTTGATGATTGATTCTCCTTTATAAGCATATTTAGCCAATTCTTTAGCTTGTTCTTAGTAGATAAATCATATTGGATGGATTAGCTTTCGGATCTAGCCATGTTTCAGTTCCAAAAACGTAGATCTATCAACTTTATGAAGCCATTTTGCATGATAGCCCTAGATCTACTCTTCCAAGTGCCTTTTTAGCCTTTATATCCTCTTGTATGCATTTGTACACGTAAAGTTGGGAACTTTACGCGGTAAACCAGCCTTAGGAACTCAGATCTATGTATTGTATGCAGTGGTTTTGAACAAAATCGAGTTTTTAGTAATTGCATGCATGTGACTCGGCGAGTCGTTCTTCGGACTCGACGAGTCGAGTCGCGAGTCCCCGATCTTTCCCCTTTGAGTGATTCCGAGTGGAAACCAGTGAGTAGTAGAATGGACTCAGTGAGTCGGAGGTTAGACTCAGTAATGGAAGGACTCGACGAGTCTAAGGCAATCTTCATAATTTCAAGAACAACTCGTCGAGTTGTTCATACAACTCGGCGAGTCGGATGCAAATAGTCTGAGTTTTAGAATCAAATGGGAACTCGTCGAGTTCAAGCCATACACGACGAGTAACAGCAAGCAGGGTTAAGAAATGAGAGTAGGGACTCGGCGAGTTGGCGGCCCAACTCGGCGAGTCAGGTCAACTGTAAGTTGACTTTGGCCAGAAGAGTTGACCTTGACCAGGAGAGTTGACTTTAGCCAGGGGTAAAAGAGTCATTTTACCCCAA